CAAATAGATTTAATTAGTGACGCCACGCGGCCATTACGCGTCATATTCATAAAGGATTGCATCAGCCACGCGGCTTTAGTCAATCTACAATTAACACGCTATATTAAAGTTAAATTATATTAAATTCATTCTCAATATTTAATTACAATTTACTTAATCATAAATATTAACATTTCCATTCTGAAATTAAATTCATTTGACTAATTCGTATATAAAAAACTAAATTCAATTAACTAACGATCTGTTATTAATTGAATATTAGTAGCGCTCGCCTTGAGACAATTTATTTAACTAATTGAATATTATTAGCTCTCAACTAGAGACAATTGAACATTAATAGCTCTCACTTTGAGACAGTTCAAATTAATTAGATATTACCAGCTCCCACCTTAGGACTTATCTAATTCAAATTATCGATAATTTTCTATCTAAGGCGGCTGAGCTCACCCCTATTGCGTTATTGCAACGTAATTTTACACATTCACACTTACACATACACCATTTACTTGTATAATTTTCATCAAGGAGGTTTTTTCCCAGCCTAGCTCCTTCCTTAGGGTTTTCCTTCTTTGGGGACAAATAAATTCTTCTAAATTGTTCCCCAAAAAATCCAAATATTATTATTTAATTTCCTAATCCCATCTTTATCATATAATTTAAAACAATTACGGGAATTATCCACATTGGATAGTTTTCGACAAAACAATCCCACCTGTCACTGAAGAAGAACTGCTGGAGGTTTGTAACCGTGTAGCGAATAATAAAGCGACGGGATTGGACGGAATCCTTAATTTAGCCTTGAAAACCATCATAAAGGCAGCTCCAACATTATTCCTAGACGCTTATAATGCATGTCTCAAGGAGGGGACTTTTCCTCGTAAGTGGAAACAGTAACGATTGGTACTGTTACCTAAAGGGAAGAAACCACCAGAAGAACCGTCATCTTACCGACCACTTTGCATGCTAGATACGACGGGTAAGAAATTTGAGCGCATAATTCATCAACGAATAGATGCAGTAGTCGACCCACTCCTGGCAGACAACCAGTATGGTTTTCGGAAAGGACGATCAACCTTGGACGCGATCAATCTGGTTGTTAGCACGGCTAAAGAAGCGATCGCAGGAACCAGATGGAAGGGTGGCACGAAGAAGTATTGCCTGGTGGCGGCATTAGACATTAAAAACGCATTTAATTCCGCCAACTGGAACTGCATCACGCAAGCTCTTCGAGAGAAAAACGTTCCAGAATACCTGTGTAGAATAGTGGCCAGCTATTTCACCGATAGAGTGCTTAAATACGATACAAAAAATTGTCAAAAAGAGTACGATATTACCGGAGGTGTACCCCAGGGCTCTGTACTTGGTCCACTGCTGTGGAATATCATGTACGATGGCCTATTGAGATTGAAATTGCCAAGAAGTGTAAAACTCGTAGTGCATGCAGACGACGTAGCCATAGTAATCGTCGCTGAACACCTTGACGAGATTAACAACATATTCGACATCACCTTCGAGCGAGTCTATCGGTGGATGAATACGGTAAACCTGCATCTGGCTACACACAAAACTGAGGCAGTGCTTATATCCAGCAGAAAAGTGTTAGAGACCATCAAGCTGAAAGTCGGCGAACAAGAAATCACATCACAACCTTATATCCGATATTTGGGAGTGATGCTTGATGCCCGTCTTAACTTTAAACAGCAAGTGGAACACGTCAGTGCCAAAGCGTCAGTAGTGAGGGCTAGTCTCGCACGACTGATGCCGAACGTCGGAAGCCCAAAGCAGAGCAGGAGACTACTACTATCATCAGTTGTCACATCGGTGCTCACATATGGAATATCCATTTGGGCAGACGCGCTGAAGTTGCAAGAATCATGGAGAAAAGCTGGACCAGTATATCGACTGAGCGCTGTAAGACTAGCCAGTGCATTCCGCACGATATCAGAAGTAGTGGTGTGTGTCATTTCCGGAACTTTGCCGCTCAGAGTTCTAGCTGAGGAAAGACGGAACCTTTACCAACGAAAGAGGTCAACCACACTAAGTGCCGAGGAACTCAGAGCTGAAGAACGGCAGAACAGCATCGCACGATGGCAATCGCAGTGGGACGCCGTGACAACAGGAAGATGGACGTACCGTCTCATACCGAAGATCGACGTTTGGCTAAACCGGAGTCATGGCGAGATCAATTACTATCTGACGCAGATGTTGTCAGGACATGGATGTTTTCGGACGTATCTTCACCGCTTCAAGCATGATGATTCACCGAAGTGCCCGTCCTGCCTAGGAATCAATGAAGACGCGGAGCACGTTTTCTTTGAGTGCCCACGATTTTACCCACAGCGAGATGAGCTGGAGATGATCCTGAAGAAGAAAATCCAACCAGAGACTATAGTAGAAGCAATGCTGTCATCAGAGGCTGCCTGGAACGCCGCAAACACGTTTGCAACAGAAGTCCTTATAGACTTGCGTTCCATCGAAAGAAAAAGAGCAAATCACAACAACTAGAAGAGAGGTAAAATAATACCTTAGATACCAGAAGGAAGAGCGGCAGCTAATTCCTCCCCCCGCGAAGAAATGCCTTACGGCGGTACCATGGGGGATCAGAGGATAGAAGAGAAAGGGGTTTAGGGTTTAGTGGGTAGGGGCGTTAGCGTCGAGTTTTAGTATGACGCTGCGTCGAGTCACCACATATCCTGGCCAAACAGCTACGCCTAGAATCCGTAAAAAGGATTCCCCCCCTTAAGGGAAAAAAAAAACACACACACACACTCATACACACACACACACACACACACACACACACACACACACACACACACACACACACACACACATACACACACACTCATACATACACACACATACATACAGACATAGTGACAACCTCGCGGGGATAGTCAGGGAAGCTTCCTGTGACCTTTAAACGTCGAGATCTGATGAAAACTCGATTTTTGCAAAACGGGGTGAAAACAATAACTTCCCGATTTTTTTTAAATCTAAGATTTTTTGCGGGAAGTTAAAAATTCAAAAAAAATTGAAAATTGAAAAAAAAATTTGTCGTTTAAAGCTATTCAGGGTATCTTATAGGGAATATCATGGTGTTTTTAAAACGCTTCTTCGATTTCCTATGTGATTATCATTCCCAGAGTTATTAAATATCAAAGTTGAAACAACTTGTTTGATTTGATTGACATTAACTCCGCGGCAAATCATCGTGCAGGCTTTTCAAATACGTCAAATCGAAGGAAATTGAATATTCTAAAAGAGCTTTTGAATGAAATAATGGAAAAAAAATTTCTTGAAGCCCGTAAACCTTTTTTTAGACGAGAAAAAAATTGGAAATTTTTTTTTTGTAGTTTCCTAAGGATTTCTCCAAAACCAAACATGACAAAAAATTTTCATAATCATACCTGAAAACTAGATACTTAGAGCTACAATTGCTTTTTTTTTGTTGTACGATCATTTTCCTCGGAGTTACAGCTCGTTAAAAATCACCCAACAATTTAGCATTTTTTTATATCCCTTAATATTTGTGACTAGTGACATTAAAAATACATACATATATAAACTTTTGAACTAAATACATTTTCTGACTCAGCTTGACAAACTGAGTCAGAAAACGACTAAATTTTTTCAAAGTTGCGCCATGAGGACGGCTGCAATCGTTATATTTCTATAAAATCTACTAAAAATAGAAAGAAAAAAAAATGCCACTCTGATAATTTCAGGAAGTTCGCAAAAAATACTGGTTTTTTATAAAAAAAATTGGTTGTCTGTAAAGTCGGTTTACGGATAGTTTTACGTAATAACGTCATAAAGAAACATTGATGAAAAATTGCATACTTTTATGACTTGAATTGAATTATTAACATTGAATTATCATTATTTTGTATTTAAAAATTAAAAAATTTTGAATATTTAAAGATTATTTTAACAAAAAACAGGACTTATTGATACATTGTTAATCGAAAATTGATACAATAATTTGATAATTGATTTAATTATTATTTTTAATTATTTTATCAATTTATTATTATTTTATTATTAACTAGTTTATTAATTTATCGTTTATAATTATTATTAATTTATTTATTTATAATTAATATCATTTATTAACAATTATTAATATTATCAACAATAATAATCTAATATAATTGATATAACTTGACATAAATATTTTTAAAACTAGTTAAACACATTAATTTTTAATTTTCAAATATTATTTACAGTTTTTGAAAATTTAATTTAAATAATTTGTTTAAATATAATCACAAACAATTAGTTATAGAACAATATTGTTCTAACTGCTAGTTCTGACGTCACGCGAGAAGAGAGATATGTGTCACAAGCTAACGTTTAGGCCTCTCTATCGTTTGTTTTATCGTACCTCTCTAACGCTTGTTGTGCGCTCTCGCTAGCACGCACAGGCTCGGGCGAAACGGGACACTTTTTCGTGTGCGCTGCCAGTGTTCATCAATTTATAAGACGTTATTTTTTTTCTAAAAAGTACATTTAAAAACAAAAATTTCAAAAAAAAAACATCCCAATAAGTTAATTTTCAAAAAAGTTATGGTTATTTAACAAAAAAAAGCTATTTTTAAAAAAAAAACTCGTCACTTTTTTTGGTTGGGTAAAAAAATTTGAAAAAATTCTGAAAATTGTTTTTAATAGGGTAGAGAAAGATACAAAAATTTCAGAAAAGTCGAAAAGGGTCGGGGTCAAAAATGTTCGATTTGGCATGGAATGCCCCATGCATATATCTATTTTTAAAATTAATTTAACTTTTTAGCCGGTTAAAAAATTAGCATTAGCTTAGCTAATTTAAGTTAACCGGTTAATAAATTAGCTAATTAGCTTAGCTAATTTAAGATAATCGGCTAAGCTGATTGTTAGCTAATTTAGTTAACCTGGTTAACTTTTTTAACCGGTTTGAATGTATAGCCCTGCTACTTAGAAATAGTACCAAATGTTATTATTGTACTTCATCCTAATGAGATCAATATCTTTCGGAAACTTTTTTGATAGATAAATTTAAGTTTAAATGCTTTAAACGCTGTGTAATTTATTTATTTACCTGAGTTTTTGAAAGTAGTTGAAGTTCACGCAAATGAGAAACACATATATGATGCAATGTAGCCAGATCTCTAGCAGTGTCAGGAATGTTTTTACTTCGAAATTCAATGCTCTCTGATTCTGGCTTTTCGGTCACACTCTGAAAAAAAAAAATCAATTTTTTTGATAGTAATTAAAATCTAATGTTATTCGAATTTTTAAAGAGCAATTATTATTTATTTTTTTTTTTTTCATTGATACTTACGGACAATTGGTCAAGAAAAACGACCATTCTTTCTTTGTTTTTCAAGATAAAAGGATTAACGACTTCCATGTATGGTTCTTTTCCTCCAAATTCAACCAAGTTAGCCAAATTTTGCAAACATTTAGCCACCATTACTAGGGATCTATATACAATATTCAAATATGAAATAAAAATAAAATATTGTGTGGTTTAATGAAATCACGATGAAAGTAAAACTTTTTTTGGATTTTTAACATTCAACTAAGAATTTTCGGAAAATTAATCGATTTAGGATATTAAAATCGCGTTTTTTATCCTAACTTGATAATTGGTAAATGAAGGGACAGCCCAGGGCATGTTGCCGCGATTGTGTTTATAGTTATTAACGGATCCTAATGAAATTTAGTAAACATATTTCTCAATAATAGCCATTTGAATTTTTCTGAAGATAGTGAAAATTGCATTTTCTGTCTTTTTATTTCTAAAGAACAATTAATTGAAAGAAAATAGCTTCTTTCTTAAAAATTTATCTTAATGCTGATAAAATTGTCTTTTATTTGATCTATAAAACATGTAACGAATGATAATTTTGTTAAGATTAAGAATTTCATTTTTTGCCAGTTTTTGGTAGACGGGTTATATTAGTCCGTGTAATAGAACTCACGGTAGTTTGATTAAAAATTAATTGTGATTTTTTACTGATAATTTGACAATTGATTGTTTGATATAATTTTTTTAATTATTAATTACATCGAAATCTACTTTTTTATTGCTTTTTTACTTGTGCACCTTCTCGGTTCTTACAAGGCTGATCTCCCTCTTTCTCCTAGCTTTCACGCTTTACTTGCTCTTCTTCATATTGGACCTCAGCAAGTCACACCCAACACTTCCTTTCTTTTTAATTTGCGGCTGTGGACCGACTTGTGCTTTCTGTACTGCATTCGCCCTATTCCTCACCTCTTCCTAGGCTCTTGGAATAGTAGCATGGGGAACCGCAGAGAAAACCCATGTCAGTACAGTTCGGCTACCGGAGCGACCCCCGACGGTTATTATTGAACGTAGTCTAAAAACCGTCGGAGCTCGAACCCTCGCCTCACAACATTATATACGAGCGGACTAGAGTCTCAGCCCGCTCGGACGTCATTCCGCTTATCGAAATCTACCTTCCAATTCAATTATTATAGCAATAACTTTATTTTCGCCATGAGTCTCGCAGTTTATAAATGTAACTAATATTTCATAGTAACGAAAATAAGCCTTGATTAAACAAAAGAATTAAAAAGTATTAAAAGCCAATGCTTTCAATACTTCAAATCATTTCAAATATTACCAAATATTGCCTCTTATGAAAGTTTAGTACATGAAGAATCATTTTTAATTCTTTTGTTTTTTTAGGGAGTAAATAACGTCTTACATTCAATTTTTTTAATGTATCTAGTAAAAATCGTATCGACTTGGCCGTTCAGGACCTTTCTTTTTTACTCGTCCTTGTCCGTAAGAGCTGTATATGAGTCAAATAAAGAGAGAATATGGTCAAATACAGAGAGAGATAAAATATAGAGGGGTCAATTAGAGAGAGATTTCATTAGAGAAGTAAAATATAGAGAGCTGTAATGCTACATGCGATAGATGGACGAAAAAATTTGAGGCGATTGATAAAAAGTTTCACTTTAATAATATAGTATAATAGTTGACTACATATATATTAATTACTTAACAAAAACTAATATATATGATTATTAATTAACAAGATTTATGTAATAATTATCAATGGATAGAAATGAATAAAATACCTCGTAGCTGCTGGTGGAGGTGACTCAGATAATAAATTAAATGATCTAGGATTCAGAATAGCTGGGCACAGTAAACGTAAAAATATAAACCCACTGACAACTCTTGTTCTAACAAGTCTTTCGTGAGGCCATTTAGCTACGACTGCTCTTTGCAAACAACCGCAAATATATCTCAATGCTTTAGGACATGCATCTGGACTCGTGAATATACTCAAAGTTACTTCATCTAAAACCTGAAATGTTCATTGATGTTCAAAATATATATGTTACAGTTCAAAAATAATGGAATGCTCAAATGTATGAATACATAAGTGTATTATAGCAATTTTTAAGGGTAACTTTAATCAAAGAAGTTAGAATTGGGTGTTCAGAATGGTAAAAATAATATTTACTTGTAACAAAAATTCAGCATTACTGCAAGCGTCTTCTGGCGAATCCATTTTATTGGGATTTAATTCACAGCTTTGCTTACTTTCGATTAATTTAATAATAGTATCACGTAATGCAGCTTTTAAAAACGATGTACAGATTGATTTCATATAAAGATCCAAAAATAAGATACTGAGAGCTGCAATTTGCTTTTTTTTTATTTGTTGTACGATAGTTTTTTTATAAGTTACAGACTGTTGAAAATCCCCCAAATATTTTGATTTTTTTCTTGTTCCCTTATTTTTTGTGAGAAGTGTATTTTCTATTTAACAATGTCAAAATAATTTATATTTTTCAGAAGACACCTCTCGTGATTATAACAGTAATGATGACTGTGATGCTACAACATCTAGTCAGGAGTTGCAATCAAAGTCAGATTCATTTATGAGTCAAAATTCAAATGTGTCTAACTTTGAAACAGATTTTTTAACAGCAAAACGGACACCAAAAATTAATATTATGACGCCAGAATTAGCTGCTGCACTGGATCGTGGTAATGTAAGTAGCCGAAGCGCCACATATGTTTTGGCAGCTACTTTAAAAAGTGTGGGATTCGATACTCGGAATGTAAATTTGAGTTATAAAACTATTCAACGACAGCGTATAATTCATCGGAAAGAAATTGCTAAAGGCTTAAAAGAAGACTTAAAATTCAATGACAATTATGTGGTCCATTGGGATGGTAAACTGCTAAGTGATATTGTTGGGACAGAAACAGTAGATAGGCTTCCGGTGCTTTTAACATCGTCTGGCAGTGAACAGCTATTGGGTATTCCAAAAATTAATTCAGGATCTGGGATTGAGCAAGCTTTAGCTGTATACTCAACTATGGAGCAATGGGGTGTCAGTAATTACATAAAAGCGATATGCTTTGATACTGCAGCAACCAATACGGGTAAATTTGAATTATTAGTCTTATTTACTTGAAAAAGGTCAGATTTGACAAAGTAGAGAAAAATTATACTTAAGATCTTTTCACAATTATTTTTTCAATATTCCAATTAAAAAACCTCTAAAAACCGACAAGTTGATTTTTTTTTGCCAAAAATAAAGTTTTCTATGGTCAGATGATAATATTTAAAAATAAACTTTATTACAAAAATTAACTCCACTGATTGTTATATTTTCAGAATTTATGGAAGTAATATAGTTCAAAATAAAAAATCACTTGATTTGCCATTCATGTTTCTAATCAAATCTTTATCTTTCTAATCTATAGGAATTCATCATGGCGCTGGCGTAGAGCTTGAGAAAATTCTGAAACGAAAGCTTATATGGTTACCCTGTCGTCATCATGTAATTGAACTTGTCATAAAAGGCGTTTTTGAAGCTTACTGGCCAGTACAATCAGGTCCGAACGTTCCATTTTTTAATCGATTTAAAATCGGTTGGAATAAAATCAACACATCCAAATATAACGCCGGCATCAACGATAAGATAGTGGCTGATATACTATTAGACAAAAAAGATGAACTATTAAGTTTTATCGATAATTATTCGCAGGTATATTTTGAGTATGTTGTTTGAGTTGTAAAAGTACACAGAAAAAACTTTTTGGTCAAAGAAAATTTTCATTTTAGGCAAGATAGTGTTCTTTTTAATAATTTTCTTAATTCAAGTTGACCACGTTTTGTGTACACAATTTAAAATCTCCAGTTCTCATGTAAAGATATTACCTTTCAATAATAACAGAAAATGATCATATTTTTTTGCAGAAATTTCTTCCAAGAAATGACTATCGAGAATTTTTGGAGTTATCATCTATTTTCTTGGGAGCTACGCCAAAGGATAATTACACTTTTAAATGTCCGGGAGCAATGAGTCATGCTCGTTGGATGTCGAAGGCGATTTATTGTTTGAAAATATTTATTTTTCGAACAGAGTTTAAGATTACAGCTAAAGAGTTAAATAATCTTCGTCAGATTTGTATTTTCATTGTTACAACTTATATAAAAGCTTGGTTTACTTCATCCTCGGCAATCTTGGCTCCAAATAATGATTTGACTTTGATGCAACAATTGATATTATATACCAAAATAAACTCGACTGTATCGCAAGCTGCTCTCAAGAAAATGGTGAGACATTTATGGTATTTGAGTGATCAATTAGCCATAATGTCTCTATTTGATGATTCTATTGACCTGACTGTGAAGAAAAAAATGATTGAAAATCTAATGAATAATAAATCATCAAATACTAAAACCAGAAAATATGAAGTAGTAAGCGATTCAGATGAATTGCTAGAAAAAGATATCAGTGACTTCATTTCTGTAGAATCGCTCACCATATTCAAAGAATTTGATTTACCGTATGATTTTATCGATGAAGACATAAGCAATTGGTCCAATAATGATAGTTTTCAAGAGTGTAAGGAATTTTTTGGAAAATTAGCTGTCGTCAATGATGTTGCAGAACGTGGTGTATCATTAATTGAAGATTACAATAAGTGTCTCACTAAAAACTTGGCGTGAAGAAAGGCAGCGCTGTAGCGTATAACAATCAAGGTCATTTTCCGATCAAAGGAAATCAAAGTTATTATACACGGATAGTATTCCCTTTTTTGAAAAGCGCAATGATAGAAACAAGGTGGTGGGAGAAAGGAAGGCTATGTTTTCAGCTTCGGTAACAGATTACGGAAAAGCTCACGATAACTCGCAGCGCTGTAACGTGAAACTTTCAAGGTCATTTTCAGGTGGTCGACTTCGCTAATAAATACTTACAAATGTAATGGTGGAGGGGGAGTACATGAAGCTGCGACAGTATTGACATTAAAAAGGACAAAACAACAAGAGGGCTAAAAACGGAAGTTTAAAAGTGTAAGTTTATAGAAAAAAGTATATCCCTACACAAATGAATAACTTTTGATTGAGAAGCCGAATTTTTTTACTATTGGAGTTAGTTAAATACAGTGAAAATGAATTTATGTCGATAACTAATCGTTAAAAAGCAAAATAATACATTGGTAAATTATGATTTTATAAAAAAAAATTTAGTCTTCCGACAAAAAAAAATTATTCTCAATATTAAAGTCATAAATTTTTCAATCAAAAGGAAAAAATCATGTGTAACGCGAAAAAAACGATAAATTACTTTTGAATTTAACTTCAACGTCGAATAACTTTGAAAGGAGTGAATTTAATCAAAAATGTTAAGAAACCTTTTTTGTAGAGCATTAAATTTCCTTTAAAAATAAGTATTTTAAATTGTAAAAATATTGATATTTCTGGTAGCTACAAAAATCCAAAATCGAAACGCAAAATTGAAAAAATAAATCTTTGTTTAAGGCATGATTACAAGGAAACGGCTTGTTTTACAGTAATTTACTAAGATAACTTTTTTTTAGGAAATTTAATTTCCTATAAGAATACCTATCGCTAAAATTTTTCAGATTGATAATTAACGAGTTTTGAGTAAAAAATGGGATTACTGTTGAAAAATCAATAGTCGTAACGATACACCCCTTAATATTATTATTAAGGACTTAAACTTGCACAATAATTTTTTTTATCATCATGAATGATATTTTCACAGTATCGATAGAAAAAAAAAATAGTCAATTTTTTTGGCCCAGTCTAATATATATATATATACGATATAACCGGCCTTGTCTCTTCTCTAACTCCCGCAATTTTGTACGGATCTTAATAAAACGTAACATACTTATTTTTAGGACGATTTCCAAGGTTAAGTTCTAAGATGAGCCTAACCTGTCGATTAGTTTAGAAATCAGAGCAATTCAAAAATTTTCAAAAATTTTCGCTTTTACCTTATTTCCGTGTAATAACAATGGAACACGACATCCTATCGGATTTCTGTAAAGTGCATTTGAAGCTTATTTAATAAGCTTCAATTTGTATACTTATTTATTTTTCCAAATTGAATAGTATAGGAATAATAGCAATTCAAAAATTTTCAAAAATCGCAAAAATTTTCACTTTTTCTGTATTTCCGTACAATTACAATTGAACGCGATATCATCAAAATTTTATAAAGAGCATCTGAAAGCTTATTAAATAAGCATCAATTTGTGTACCTCATTATCCATCTAGGCCAAAAATTACCTCCTTTTTCAGACAGATTTAATGAAATTTTACTTTTGCATTCGTTTTGACGTCATTGTTATTTAATGTAACAGAAAATTATTTTTTTTGTATGTAACCCTAGTAGTATACTATTTGTTAATCATGAAATCTACTTCCATTTTGGCTGCCGAATGGCTTTTTTTTTGTGCTCGAAGAGTTCAGAAACCTCGTAAGTGCAATTTCAAGCGTTTAGGTATGGAATTGGCGGGAAGTTGCAGGGATTGCCTTTAGGGTCAACCGTTTTCCAGATTTTTTTGGTTTTCTTTCGTTCATGATATTTCTTGAACGAATTGACCAATTTCGACCGGCTTGACGGCGATCGACGTAATTTTTTCATGCTAATAGCTGATTCGTTTTTGAAATCGATCAGTGCAGCCGTTTCAAAGTTATTTCAAAAAATGTCGGAGTTATGTTAAAAAAACAATCGTTTTCAAATATTTTATCGAGGATATCTCTCGAACTAATTAACAGATTTCCACGTTATTGGCGGCGATCGTCGCGGTTTTTTGAACTCTGAAATTATTTTATATCATCAAAAACGATCCGAGAAGAAATGACGAAGTTATGTCAAAAAAAAACACTTTTTCGGTTTTCTTTCGTTCTCGATATCTCTCGAACGATTTAACCAGTTTTAACCGGATTAGCGACGATCGGCGTGGTTTTTCAAGCTTAAGAGCGGATTAGTTTTCGAAGTTGATCGATAGAGCCGATTAAAAGATATTTTAAAAGTACCACTTTCAAAAATGATTTTTTTCTTATTTTTTTTGAGATTTTTCAAAATTTATCAAAATCTATCGGTCCAAATCGGTTCATATTCTCAGGAAATCTAAGTTCGAGAAAACTCTTTAGAACGCCGTTTAGTACGTTCCAATCGGTTCAGTCGTTCAAAAGTTATAAGCGAGTCATATAGACACACACACACACACACACACACACATACAGACATAGTGAAAACCTCGCGGGGATAGTCAGGGAAGCTTCCTGTGACCTACAAACGTCGAGATCTGATGAAAACTCGATTTTTGCAAAATGGGGTGAAAACAATAACTTCCCGATTTTTGAAAATCTTCGATTTTCTTAGCTGTAAGTTAAAACATAAAATGAAAAATAATGGTCAAGTGAATTTATTTAATTGATTGCGTAAAGTAAAATTATTAAAATATTCCAGTAAAAATTTTAGTAAAATCATTTGGATTAAAGTTAATAAAAGTCAGTTATAAATTTTTGATTGTCAAAATAAAATTTTTTGTAGTAAAATTAGAATCAGAAGAATATATGGTGAGGCTTTCGCATACCTTCGAAGAGGCTGATACCTGGGCTCAAAAGAGCTATACTCGCTCGTATATTTGTCCTACCCTCACGCAACATAAACACAGCCAAGTTTGCGGACAAGGAAAAATCCTGCCCATAAGCTTTTACGCTATCATTGGACAGATGTTAATAGATTGAATTCAATGTTGATCCGTCCTCGTACTCAGTCAACTGTAACAATCCATTTAACGACTGCGTTAGCCTGATCGGTAATATAATAACAACCCGACCAGTTACCAGCGGGGCTCATGCGGGGAGGTGCAGCCGTAAGACCTGTTTGAGCCATAATACTTATCCCCCCTGCAAGAGTCTCGATCGTGTGTATCTGTCTAATTTAATCCCCAAATCTTTGAGCTTACCTGCGTTGCCAAACAATTTGACAGCGTCACGAGGCCTTGCTCGGTAAAATTAGAATCAGTTAAAATCACTAAAATTGTTAATGTAAATTATTTAATTAAAAGAAGATATTAAAACTTAACGTAAAATTTCGTTCGAAAAAATAATCGCCCAAAAGTTGTGCGACAAAGACGCAAGACCGAGTGAGAGAGTCAGCCATCGTGTCCCGCGCGAAAACTCTCAGTAGACGACACGTAGGGTCCAGACTAAAATCTTAGCGCGTTGCCAGGCAAAAGATAATCCTCAGTTGAAATAAAATAAAGTAAAATAAATTTCAAGTTTTTCAAGCAACACAATAGAAAGTAAAATGAAACGATTTAGATAAAATAAAACTCAGTTATTCAAAGACAAGTAAAATAGTTTAGTCAAAATAAATCTAAACAAAATCAATTGATGAATTCTTAGTTAATAGAAATAAAGTTCTTAATTAAATAAAATAACTCATAAATTTTGATAAAATAATTTGGACTAAATTAAAAACAATCTAATAGAATAACTTAATAAATTCTGGTGGAATAAATTAAAGAAATTAAGTAAATTAAGTAATAATAAATTTGTAAGTCTCGGACTTAATAAATATATTGTTGGCAGATTATTTAGACCTCTGTCTTCAGATTTTAATCTATTAGTTCAAGATATGAAGACCCCTTGTAATTGAATCTATATTGTTGTATGATTAAGACCACGGCAAAAAATTGGTTAAGGATTAGGATTTTTAAATAAATTAAGAGATAGGAATGATTGGAATAAAGGGATTTAGGGATTTAATTAATCGGATTTTTAATTGGGAAATTAATATTCAACTTTTGGAAAATAATTTGATTAAAATTAATATGTAAAATCTGGGAAAATATCTAGTGTGTTTGGGAAATTAATTAATAGTGTGGGTGGGTAGTATTATATTTGCAGTGTTGCCTAGGGATTCATGGTATCCTCCTCTGTTTCCTAGGCGCACTTAGAGTCCTTTGCATAGACGGCCAGGTTCGGGGTGCAATAGGCGTAAGCTGGAAAAATTATTAAATTGTGGGTGTGTGTGGATAATATTTACAGTGTAGCCTAAGGATTCATGGTATCCTCCTCTGTGTCCTGGGTGCACATAGAAACCGTAGTATAGACGCCTGGGTTGGGGGGTACAACAGTAGTAAGCTAGAAACCGCGATATGGACGCTCCATAAGAGGGTATCGCCGGGAATTATAATTTTTATAGAAACCGTAGTGAAGGCGGGAATAAGTTTGATTAATTATTTTGTAGAGAGAGGGCGCTGTAGTAAGACGCGTTAACAACATAGCTCGTATTAAAAGGTATTTAAAAATATGATTAAAGTGAATTTAGTGAAAAAAAAAAAAATTGTATTAGTGACAATAAACTAATGAATACGACTATATAGTGAAGACAAGGTCTTAAGCTAGTGAATAATACAATAAAACTTAAAAAACTAAAGTGTAAACATATAACAATCTACGTTCTTTTCAAGTCTTTTCTCGCGAACCCAAGAACTTAAATTGTACCAGTGTTGATCTACGAAAGTTCCGGAATTTCGCGATTTTTACGCAAATAAATGAAAAATCGCGAAATTTACCCTTTTTTTTTGGAAAACATAACCTCACACCTGAATTAATTTATAATTTCGCCCATCTACCATAGCAAAAAAAACTGCGAAACAGCGCTATCTATTAGAATAGAAATACACCACGTTCGATTTATGCTCAAAACGAATAAGAAACAATACAATCCAGTTCTACTAGAGGGCGCAACGAGCACCAAAACAAAACAGACACTATGGAGGAGAAAATTATGAAAGCCTTACAAAATATTCAAGAAGATCCATCAATGTTGTCGTTAAGCTTGCCGCTCGAAATAAAGTTGGGGTTTCATCTTCCTTATCAACCTATAAAAGTATTTATGAATGAAAAATTGCATGAAATTTTCAAAAAATGATATATTTTTATAACATAATGAAGGTGTAACTAAAAGATTAAACGCAATAATAAAAACTTGATTCTGTAATATCTTTTTAATAAGAACATTTTTCGATTTAAAAAAACAAAATTATTCCTTGCGTTTATCCTATCAATTCTGCGCCTTCATATCTTATTGTAATAAAATTAATACTTCTGCTTGATTTAATGAACGCAGTAAATCTGCTTCTTTACGTTCGTATCTAAATATTTTAAGAAGACTACTGGCCAACGGTACTCTGTCTGAATGACAAACGTCAGCTAGAGCTCGAACAACATGTAATTCTGGATCTAATAATAATTGTTGCAGTGGGCTATACTCTTCAGGAGGCATAGCCAAGTCATGGCGATATCTGTGAATAAAAAATATAAATATTTACTTATTTTTTATTGTGATTATTAAGATAAGGAACATAAATTAAATACAAAAAATCATATTAAATCGTCACCGTATGCGTAAACGTAATGCTCCCCATTCTCCGATTGGAGTAATACCAGAAAGAGGATACCATTCTTCCATTTCTTCTCCATTCAATAGATTTGATAATTCTATAGATACCTCTGCAACTTCCGTATCTTTACTTCGTTTTCCTTTGTTATACAAAGTCAATGAGAATGTAATTACATCAGGTGGAACATCTCTGTTGAGTCAAAGTTAGTGTTAGATAAGATTTTCGTAAATAAAAATACTAATATTCATACACAAGTTCCATTTATAGATGTTACCAAGTTGAAAGTATAACTAGAGTAATTTATGTATATATTAAAAAGCTTCAAAAAATATTTTCAACTTTTCATTAAAAAAATTTTGAAAAATAGAGAAGTTATTGCATTGAACGGGTGAGTGTGTGAGCGTTGACTTAGAAAAACTAACGTTTTTCAATAATATTTTGGTAAAAAAGTTTTAAACGACTATGATGGACTATTCTAAAACATAATCAACGCATACTCCCCTCCCCTCCCCCACCTCCAGCAACGTAAAATACCGCAAAGTGCTTAAAATTATTTAAGATAGTACGGTTATGAAAGCAATATTTTAAGAAATCCTCGAAACTTTGAATATAAGTCATTAAATACATGACACATATGCTGTTAAAATTTGAAGACGATTTACCGTACCTAACTTGAGACAATTGCAATTGAAAATGACATTTTTGTACATGTAACATAGGAGAAGCGTGGGAAAATAACAGTATTTTTAATTTTTTCCATCGAAGGAATTTCACGACTTTATCGAAAAACTAGTAGATTGAAGAAAATGATATTTCGAACAATTAAAAAAAAATAAAAATTATTTACCGTGTAGTTTTCGAGATTAATTAAAATAAATTTCACTTTTAGAGGATTATTTTTAGGAGAGGGGGTACGAAAAAAAGCCGCTAGTCACTGAAACCGTAGTGTGTGTGTATATGTATAGAGAACATAGTAGTCGACGAGTACAGTAACGTTAAAAAATCTTAACCTACAACCTTAGCTCTGTCGATACGTATAACATGGATAGTGAGCCAAAATTTTTTATCTGGATTGTCGCGGAGGTACTACCTTAATATGATTGAAAGATATTCTAGTTTAGTAATGAAAAATAAATTTTTTTTTTTTTTTATAATTACCAAATCACTATTTGTATCGATTTTTGGGTTTTCTTCGCGTTTTGTGATTGACAAATTACGTCGAGTGCCGCAAATTATGTCATACTAAGTTGATTCATTCCAAAAATATGGCTGCTCAAGTATGGAATAAATTTGTGCCTTTTCAATGTTTTATATGCTTTTCAGCAATAATTAATTTATTATAATAAGTTTTCGAAATAGTTATAAATAGATTCGAATTTCGCGATGAACGTCATTGGCTTATTTACTTTGTTGTATGGGTGATTCTCTGTAAGGATGTTTTTTGCTGTCCCAGGCATTTTTTTATTACAAAAATTGTTATTTTGTTACTAAAAAAAATTTATTATGAAAGAAAAAAAAATTTCTATTTGGAGCATTGAAAATTGAAATGAAATAAATTTTGGTTTTTTTGCTATAAATTCGTAAACCACCAAAATAACAGTCCCCTGGGCTGTCCCACTCCCAAAATTAAAACTTTAAAATTAAATTTTAAGTTATTCGTCCATAATATATAATTTGGTCTATAATGATTATAAACTTAATTAGTTAACTAACGATCTTCTTCAATGAAAAGTATCGAAAATTAATTTGTTTCATTAAATTCATTAAACCAAAGTTTGTCCCAGGCATTTAAGAACAGTCCCCTGCCAGAAGTTCAAAGCCAAAAATAAAAAAAAAGACCATTCGGCATCCGAAATGGAAGTAGATTTCATCATAAATAGAAAAAAAATTAGAAAAATGGTTCACCCTAAAGGCCATCCGTGCAACTTCCCGCTAATTCCATTCCTGGGCGCTTAAAATAGTACTTATGACATTTTTGAGATTTTTAAGCTCAAAATATAATTTATGTGATATTTTAAGCTCGCCGAGTTCAAAGAAATAATATTTCAATGCATTTGAGCTCTCCTAGCTCAAAAGTCTGATAGAAGTTTCATAGAACACTAGTTTTGGAATTTTCAAACCGCAATAACTTTTGAATGGATCAACCAATTTTCACGCAGTTGGCGCCATTCGACGCAGTTTAATCATCCTCATAAGTTATTTTCAGGTTTTAATTGATCGAACCGAAAGTTTCGGAGTAATCCCGAAAAAACACTTTTTTCGGTTTTCTTTCGTTCACGATATCTCTCGAACGAATCAACCGATTTTGACCGGATTAGCGCCGATCGGCGTGGTTTTTCAAGCTTAATGGCGGATTAGTTTTTGAAGTTGATCGATCGAGCCTTTTAAAAGATATTCCAAAAAAACCACTTTCAAAAATGATTTTATTCTTATTTTTTTTGAGATTTTTCAAAATTTCTCAAAATCTATCGGTCCGAATCGGTTCAAATTCTCAGGAAATCTAAGTTTGGCGAAGCCCTTTCGAATGGCACCAACCGCGATGAAATCGGTTCTACCGCTCAAAAGTTTTAAGCGATTCACATACTTACACACACACA